ACTCTTAGTGAAAATCCCAACAAGCATTCCTTGGGATATAAATTGACAATTCATTTTAAAATTTATAAGAAAATGCAAAAAAAATGTTAATGGCCAAAAACAAATTTTGTTTAAAGAACAAATTTGGAGGAGTCACTATATGATATCAAGGCTTACTAAAGCTACAGCAATTAGGAGTGTATGATACTGACCTAAAGAGAGAAATATATCAATGGAACAAATAGAGAATCTGAAAATAGACCCATGCATATGGTTCTTTTTTCCACCAAAGGAGTCAAAGCAATTCAGAGTTTTCAAAAATAACTGTCAACTCTAGGGTCTAGATTGTTGCCTTTAAAACCCATTTATCACTAAAGGAAACAGGGCTTCTTTGGAAAAAAAATGCTTGACTACCTTCCCTCCTATATGAACTATATCTGAGGATGACGAAATAGTTGATGAAGGGGAATTTTTCTTTACAAAAGCATCCAGGTAATAAATGAAAGGATGTTGGAATTAGAATATCAGGATTCTGTAATTCTTAATGAATGAATTGAAGGATCCAGAGTACCTTATGGAGTGTACGTGCCAAAAACAAATCTAATTGGAATCAGAATATTTACATTTATCCAACAATTTGTGGAAAATACAGTGGACAGAAGAACATTTTAAATGAGATTACAGGAATATCCTCAGTAAAATTCTGGCTATGGGGACTCTACAGGACAAATGATCTGATTTCTTTAACAAAAAATTAAATAATGAGAAGGTGAAATCTATAAATTAAAAAAGACAAGAGATATAATCAATTGCAGTGTTTGGACCTTATTTTAATCTCCCTAACAGATACAGTTAAAAAAAATAAAGTTGTTAAGACAATAAGGGAAATATAAACACTCTTCAGTGTAATTATTCAATAATGATTTAGAGGAACTTCTGCTAATTTCTTTTTTTTAGATAGGATTATAGTATTGTTATGTTTTTGTAAAACTAATTATTATTTTTTTAGAGTTACATACTAAAGTATTTATAGATTAATTAACGTAATTTTGGGGATATAATTCAAAATAGTAGGGCAAGTGGATATGTCCTAAGAGTTTATTGAAGCTGGCGGTGGGCACATGGACTTCATTATATTATTTTTCCTACTTTTTTAAGTGTTGGAAATTTTCTTTAATAAAAACGTTTTTAAAAAAATCATGCATGGTCCTGTAGAGTTCCCATAGCCTGAATTTTATTGAAGATATTCCCATAATTTCATTTAAAATGTCCTTCTGTCCACTGTATTTAAAAAAAATATATATATATATATATATATATATATATAATTGCACTTTAGGTTCTGGGGTGCATGTGCAGAACATGCAGAACTGTTGCGTAGGTACATACATGGCAATGTGATTTGCTGTCTCAATCCCCCTGTCATCTATATCTGGCATTTCTCCCCATGCTATCCCTCCCAACCTCCCTACCCCATGCTGTCCCTCCCCTGCTCCCCCACAAGCAGACCCCAGTATATGATACTCCCCTCCCTGTGTCCATGTGTTCTGATTGTTCAACACCTGCCTATCAGTGAGAACATGCACTGTTTGATTTTCTGTTCTTGTTTCAGTTTGCTGAGAATGATGGTTTCCAGATTCATTCATGTCCCTACAAAGGACACGAACTTATCGTTTTTTATGGCTGCATAGTATTCCATGGTGTATATGTGCCACATTTTCCCTGTCCAGTCTATCATCGATGGGTATTTGGGTTGGTTCCAGGTCTTTGCTATTGTAAACAGTGCTGCAATGAACATACGTGTGCATGTTTCTTTATAATAGAACGATTTATAATCCTTTGGATATACAGCCAGTAATGGGATTGCTGGGTCAAATGGAATTTCTATCTCTAGGTCCTTGAGGAATTGCCACACTGTCTTCCACAATGGTTGAACTAATTTACACTCCCACCAACAGTGTAAAAGTGTTCCTATTTCTCCACATCCTCTCCAGCATCTGTTGTCTCCAGATTTTTTAATGATCACCATTCTAACTGGCATGAGATGGTATCTCAATGTAGTTTTGATTTGCATTTATCTAATGACCAGTGATGATGAGCATTTTTTCATATGTTTGTTGGCCTCATATATGTCTTCTTTTGAAAAGTGTCTGTTCATGTCCTTCGCCCACTTTTGAATGGGTTTGTTCGTTTTTTTCTTGCAAATCTGTTTTAGTTCTTTGTAGATTCTGGATGTTAGCCCTTTGTCAGATGGGTAGTTTGCAAAAATTTTTTCCCATTCTGTTGGTTGCCGGTTCACTCTACTGATTGTTTCTTTTGCAGTACAGAAGTTCTGGAGTTTAATTAGATCCCATTTGTCTATTTTGGCTTTTGTTGCCAATGTTTTTGGTATTTTAGTCATGAAATCTTTGCCTATGCCTATGTCCTGAATGGTTTTGCCTAGGTTTTCTTCTAGGGTTTTTATGGTGTTAGGTGTATGTTTAAGTCTTTAATCCATCTGGAGTTAATTTTAGTGTAAGGTGTCAGGAAGGGGTCCAGTTTCTGCTTTCTGCACATGGCTAGCCAGTTTTCCCAGCACCATTTATTAAATAGGGAATCCTTTCCCCATTGCTTGTTTTTGTCAGGTTTGTCAAAGATCAGATGGTTTTAGATGTGTGGCATTACCTCTGAGGCCTCTGTTCTGTTCCATTGGTGTATATCTCTGTTTTGGTACCAGTACCATGCTGTTTTGATTACTGTAGCCTTGTAGTATAGTTTGAAGTCAGGTAGCATGATGCCTCCAGCTTTGTTCTTTCTGCTTAGGATTGTCTTGGCTATGCAGGCTTGTCCACTGTGTTTTTTACAAATTGTTGGATAAATGCAAGTATTTGATCTGATTCTAGTTAGATTTATGTTTTCTGGCAAAATCTACAAAACTTAAAAAGAGTCTGGCCTTGACTATGCCAGAAACCTCAATCTCTGTATGCTATTTTGAGCTCCCAATGTCAGTCTTGTTTATTTCTCAGTGTTGTTTATTTCTCAATGTTGCCAAATTTAGGAGATCAATAGATTATTTTCTTTTCCCCCCTCTTTTGGATTGGGATCAACTGAGAGATGGGTGATGAACAAGACAAGTGAGATAAAATATCAGCTTCGTTTTTTTTTGAGATGGAGTGTCCCTCTTGTTGCCCAGGCTGGAGTGCAGTGGCATGATCTTGGCTCACTGCAACCTCCCGCCTCCTGGGTTTGAACAGTTCTCCTCTCAGCTTCCCTAGAAGCTGGGATTATAGGTATGTGCCCCCACCTCCAGCTAATTTTGTGCTTTTAGTAGAGACAGCATTTGTCCATGTTGGTCAGGCTGGTCTCGAACTCCCGACCTCAGGTGGTCCACCTGTCTTGGCCTCCGTAAGTGCTGGGATTACAGGCGTGAGCCACTGCACCTGGCCGTCAGCTTCGTTGTTGATAAACACTATATTGGAAGATGTAATAACTACGGAGAACTTCCCTGTCTTTCATTCCAGAAATAAGGCATAGGCATGACTAACAGATAGCAGATCTGTGCTCCTAGAAGACTTACTCTAGAATCAGTGAATTACGGGGATTGAGCTTATAACATAAATAAAATGTCAACTACTTTTTAAAAGTATGTGCCATGTGCATGGCACTGTGCTAAGGAAGCAAATTCACATAAGTCTCTGGTGCTACGCCTACTATTCAGCCTACACAGCCTGACTTCAGGTATGCTTACTGCATTTCATAGCCAGATGGCTTCTGAAGTCTATTCTAACTTCAAGGACTACAGCTCTTGTTACAGGGAATGTTTATCCTCTACTTGTGTTAATACTTCCCACCCCTGTATATACATTACTTTAATGGTATTACTGGGATGGGAAGGCTGGACTTGAGTTACCCAACTGTTTTGGGCTATGATTTGAGCCTTAGATGGATCTAAGAGGCTTTGTTTTGCCTTTAGAATTAAATGTGTCAGCAACTCATAGGAAGTGAATACTGTTGACATAGTGACTTTTTTTTTTTTTTTTTTTTT